GGCTACTTGGGAAGCATAGAGACAAGGAAAGCTTCACTAAAGAAGTGGTGATAAGATTGAGTCTTGAAAATTGAGTACATATTTACCAGGTGCCCAAAGGAAAGAAAGGCTCTGTACATGGAGGAATATTATATAAAAGGCACTGATAGGTAAAATAGCCTGGTGAATTAAAAGAACTGTTAAGTAGAAAATTACTTACAGTTGTAATTGTCTTGGAATAAGTAGCAGGAGATGAGACTGAGATACAGCCAAGGCTTTGTTTACCATCTAAACAAAAGGGGATTTTTTTAAAAATGAGAATTACTAAAAAGTTTTAAGAAACAGAATCACATGCTAACTATGTATTTTATTGATTCATTTGACAAGTAATTAAGCTCCAAATTAGTGGTGGTAGCATGTGGAAGAAAGGTTGGAGGTGGATAAGACTAGAGGAGACTGAAAATGATTTCAGTTGTCTAAGCTAAAGTATGTATACGCTTGAAAGATCTCAGCACGTGGGTGGAAGTCACAATCATGGGAGTAAGTGAGATTTCCTAAGGAGAGCATGCACAGTGAAAAAAGTAGAGGGCACAGACAAAAGCTGGAAAGGGTTGGCCACAGAAGGGAAGACTGAGTAGACAGAGTCTAGCAAGTAGACAGAGATATAGGGATGCATACGGAGGGAATTTCAGGAAGAAAAGAGAGNGTATACGCTTGAAAGATCTCAGCACGTGGGTGGAAGTCACAATCATGGGAGTAAGTGAGATATCTTAAGGAGAGCATGCACAGTGAAAAAAGTAGAGGGCACAGACAAAAGCTGGAAAGGGTTGGCCACAGAAGGGAAGACTGAGTAGAAAGAATCTAGCAAGTAGACAGAGATATAGGGATGCATACGGAGGGAATTTCAGGAAGAAAAGAGAGACTAATGGCCCAGAGACATCAAGTAAACAGAACTGAGAAATATCTGTTGGATTTGGAAAGCAGGAAATTGTTCATGATCTTTTACAGAGTAGCTTCAGGAGACACGGGATTGTCTCAGACTGAAGGGTGAATGGAAGGATAGGTAATGTAGGCTGTTCTTCCTCACAACTGGTGGTGGCTAGAGTAGCTACCGTAGGGTGAAGAAACGTACTTTTTTCAAAAGACAGAAGTACCTTGAATGTAATAATAAGCTAGTGGGGAGAGAGGCGGTAAAGGGTGTGAGGTTGAAAGCAGAGGTGAGGGGGCACCAACTGATGGATCAGTTTCTCAGAAATGGGAAGAATAGATTCAGAGCGTGGGCAGAAATGTTAACACTTCCCCTTCTAAAACTGGAGGAAAATTAGAGTGTGCAAGGGTAGAGGCAAGTCTGCAGGTGAAGTTGCTAATACTTGCTGTCCATGATGCGCATATGGCTGGGTTGGAGACTAACAGAAAAGGCTGTGAATAATTTTGAATCGAATGTGCAAGGTAGAAGATAAATTGTGAAGTTGATTCAAGATTGGGGGTGTGGAAGGTGTAGGGGTGAGGATTCTAGGGATTTGAGTAGAGTGTGCTGGCTAGAGAGCAGGTCAAATGGTCTCCCAGGATGAAGGCATCATCAGGAGATATCTTTAAGTAGGGCCAAGGTAAAAGCCCTATGGCAGGGCCGGCCCGGTGGCGCACTGCTACAGTGCGCCGTTTGGGAAGCGCGGCGGATCCCACATACAGACCGGCCGCTCACTGGCTGAGCGAGGAGCGAGGGCAACCCCGAGGGTTGCAATCCCGTTGCCGGTCACGAAAAAAGACAAAAAAAAAAAAAAAGCC